AGCTCCTGCTTGGAAAACATTCACAGCAGCAACCTACAAATACAAATGCTTGGCCTCAGCTTCAGGTTTGGGAACAATGACTGAATGACTTGCATCCTTTGTGTTCAGTCACATTTAACCCATTGAATTCGTCTAGTTCACGTACTGGGAATGTGTACTTCTTAAACTCGGCTCAAGGTGTGGATCGTTTTGATGCAAATACCTACAAATTCACAGTATACGTGATGTTTTGTGTGTCCTAATTTGTGTTTGCCATACAGTTCACCACTTCACAACCTTCAGCCCTTCATAATCACTTTACTTTGTAGCTTTTATGAACTGCAGTTCGAGGAAGAAACCAGATTTGGTTCTATTAGCATTTATTTAGATCAACAGAGAGCAACATGGGATGGAACTACAACTTGTAAACTGTCTGGGCATTTTTCTTTCTGTCATGAACAGGTCTATAATTGCATAAGAAGACTAAAATTTACCAGTAAACGTCTTAAAAAGTTTATTTAAAATAAAAAAAATCTGCATATTCACCATTTTCCCCAAGTGTTGGCTTTAATGTCACTTTGTTGCTTTGGTATCGTAACATGATAAATTCACTTCACATGCATGGCTACTGATGACAAATGTCTCACAAAAAGCTTTTCTTTGCATGGATTAAACAAACGACAAGCTTTGCATTTATTTGAACGTCTTAGAAGTGCTGGTATTATTTTTGTGCACCACCAACATGTGTCCCTTCTCAGGCTTTAAGCGTTCGTGCTTAACTGTGCATGGTAAGCTATAACTTCCTTCTTGGGATTTGCATTTATTGAGTGGGCGCAGTGTTCATGCATTCATCTAGCTTTCAGTTTGAAAGCAGAAAAAAGGATGTAGGATTTCCCATAATTGTGACATAATGAAGCGGAGCCGAGCTGTGAAATATTTGCATTGAAAAGTTGTCTGTGTGTGAGCAGGGGACATCCCCCTTGATGGTGTCATTTCTGTAATGAGGATCACCCGCACAGATCTCTCTAATCATCTCTCTATTTCATTTTCCTACAAGTCAAATCCTCAGCCGAGTTGTTTCTCTCCCCTCTCCGTCTTTGTCTGTCTCGCTGTTCCATCTCTCACGATTGTAATTAAAATGATCTCTCTGCGTCTCACCGCCTCATCTCTTCCCCTTTCCATCTGTCATACTTATACTCACCGCCGCCGTGTATTCATTGACTGCTGTGAATCGTGCAGCCTTTCTCTCTTCTTCCTTTTGCACTTTCAACCCATTTGTTTTTCTTTGTCTACTCATCATGTGTAGTTGCCAAGGTGCTTTCCATTTGTTCACTCGGTTTATCAGTCTCTCGTTGTCCTTTGGTTATTGTTACAGGCGTCTGATAAGAGTCGGGGAGCAGCAAGCGCAGGCTCCGCTTTCTGTGATCGGTTTCCAGTGGGCGTCCATCATATTTATAACTCTTATCAGTGATCCTGCTCCTCTGACTGAGCTCACAAACAAGCTGCACTCCTATTGCTAAAGCTTCTACAGTTCCACAATTGGGATTAAAAAAAAAAAATCTAATAAGTGACAACCCAATTTTCAACAAGCAGATATTTGATAAGCTCTCCTCTCATTTCAGCTTGTTCTTCATTGTTCTGTGGGAAGGTATACCCTTCTGTGCAGACTACTTAAACAAACAAGCAACATTCTTCTCTGCAAAAATGCTCAAGTTAGACGTGTTAGACGTGAGTAAATCTGGTCACATTGTCTCTCTGGTTTGGCTCCATTTGCACAAGCATTGCACTTTTTTAATTTAATGGCTCCAGCGTTTACCTGTCGTTTTGCTTTTACTTTATGGATTTGGAATTCTTTAAAAAATTGCAAGCTTTGCATCACAGTTAGGATCTGCAGTCATTGGGAGTGCTTTATTTTATTTTAGCTGCAAAATAAATTACGATTTTTGTGTAAAAAAAAAAAAAAAAAAAAAGATCAGTCTGGGGGCAAACGTTTCATTGGTTCTGGCAGGATCAGTGTCGACTCTTCTCCGGTGCAATCATATTTTCACTTGGCCTTTCCACTGCCAGGAGTCAGGACAATCACAACAGTAATCTAATCTAGGGTGAGCTTGGTGCAATGACTGTAAAGAGCCGTTTCACAGAAGCACCTTTATAAATAATATTGCCTCTGCTGCCGTTATGCGGAACAGACTTTTGTTTCAACGATGGTGTTTGTGAAAAACGCCACATTTCTTCTTTTAAAAGAAGAAACCAATCGGCTACTTGTTACAAGTGTATCCAGCTGCATCTGGATACATACTATGCACTAGGCCTGTCACGATAAACAGTAAATCAATTAATCGCATGATAAATGAAAATTATCAACCTCATTTTAATTTATCAGCTTTATCGTTTCTTCGTCTCTCTCTTTCTACTGAAGACATTGGATGACAAAAGACTCAGCTCCGCTGCTTTTCACTGACCCCTCCCTTTCACTTTAAAATCTGTTTTAACTGTCCAAAATTGCATTTTTGCATTGTTTTAAAGCGGCTAAGTTGAGAAGCTAAGCTAACAGGCCGACCTCGGGGAAAAAACCTCCGTCTTGTCGAAGCACCAAAATTCACGGTTGAAACTCGTGCTTTTGTCTAAAAAGTTGTTTTTCTCTGCAAAAAAATCTGAGAACTTGTTTAATGATTTTTTTTTTTAATCAAAAGCTTTGTTGACAAATGCTATGCTAAAGAGCTAAAGAACCGAAGAGAGACATCGCATGTCATGTCAAGGGGCCTCCCTCCCATTTTTCTAGATACACGCTGCTTGCTCCCTCACTATCCATCCTTCGGTTCAAACAGTGTTATACTGCCATCCAGTGGTCAAAAAGGTATTACAGGCAAAACAAATGAACAAACATTTCTTTTTCAATTTGACAATAATTACTAATTATTGTCAGATTTCAAACAATATTATCATTTATCACAATAATTTCTTAGACAATTAATCGCCCAGCAAAATTTTTTTATCGTGACAGTTATATATGGTACAATAAGTAAAAAAGAAAAAATAATAATGTTAAATAATGTAATAGTCTTTATCTATTTTTTTTTACCACAGCTTTTATCACCCACTGTCTGAAACATACTGTCTGATCATAACATCTGATATTATGCGTTGATGAGTGTAAAACAGTAGCTGATTTATTTAGTTTGTGGTTTAGGAGCAAATTAAACCTCAGGTTTTTTGAAATATGTTTCATGTTGATGTCATTCTGTAAAAAAAAAAAAAAATGCTTGAGCTTCAAGTGAGGCACTTTGGGCAGCTCAGACGCAGTCTCTTCTAGACAGGAGACAGAACTGTCAGTGTCAGAGCTAAAAATGCTGAGGTTCTCCTTAGGAGTAACACGGATCAGGAATGAGATCATCAGAGGTACAGCACAGGTTGAACAACTGGGAGATAAAGTTAGAGAGACTGAGATGGTTTGGACATGTCTAGAGGAGGGACAGTGGGTATCTTGGTAGAAGGATGTTAGAAATCCAGCTTTTAGGAAAAGGACGAAGAGGAAATATATGGATGCAGTTAGAGACGACATGGAGGTAGTTTGAGTGAGGACAGAGATGGAGGAGGATGACTCGCTGTGACGACCCCTGAACCACTGAAAGTAAAATAAGATGCAGTCTTATAGCGAGAGGTAGAGATTGTGATAAAATACATTAAATAATAAGTAACAATAAGATAAAGATAGTCTGGTAATATGCTGTAGAGTCCCGTTTCAACCCGTTTATGAATTAGTTTTAACTTGCACCTGTTTTCTTTTGTCCTGTTTTTCATTTTTAATAATTTTACAATTTTCCATAACTGCTCTGTCCTTTTAACATGGCCATGAATATTTTGTCACATGCTATCAGGCTTACTGGAATAATACCTGATAAGGAAGGTGTCTCATTTCCTGTGACTAGATTAAGTAGCTTTAGATAAGAAGCTCACAAGCACGGTGCTTTATCTAACGTCAAAAGTATAAATGTAATACATCTGGAATCCCTTTATGACACTAATAATAGTTTAGGTGTGTCAGAGAAAAAAAAATGTTTAAACGTAAATTGTCTGTGGTTTTGATTGAAGCTTCAGTCTTTTTGTTTTGGTCACTGAAACATCTGCTGCTGCAGGGAACAAGTCCATTAAAACACATTTTAATTGTCTTTAATTTGCATTAAATGATTTTATTTTCAAATATTTCATTGCATATGTTATTTCATTTTATTCTTGTGTCCTTATGAACATCCGGCTGTAATCTGTAAAAATTAAAATTGTAAAACAAACAAAAAAGCAAAGACATCTCTCTTACTTTTATCTTTATGAACTATATAAAACACACTGAGGACAACCAACGTGATGGATGAATTATTAAAAGTGACAAAACCGTCAAACATTTGAAGAACATTTTTAGATTCAGCAGCAGAAAATATGTTTTTAATAAAAATACGGTTATCCCTTTGTAAGTATAAAAATAACTGCACACAGAGCCACATCCCATTTCATCAAACGAACACTGATTATCATTTTTAATCTGTTTTAACGCCAGTGTGTCAGTGAAAACACTCATTTTGCTGCTCTGGCACCATAATAATCCATGAAGATTAAGAGCCTATTTCCTGATAGGGGAGGTAAAGTCACACCTGGGGCAAAGGCTGCTCGGAACAACCATAAAAATGATTTATTACGGTTTTCCTCCAAAACATAACTTTACTCCCATTTGCATCCCCTGGTCTTGTTTTCTTCTTTGATTTTACTGATAAAACTTGTGTCTGATCATATTTAATGTAACTAGGACTTACTCCCATAGTTTGGTGAAAGTCCCGTCATGGTATCAGGTACACATGAAAGTGTGTATTAGCTGTGGTTATTACTGACGTGCGTTCAAACAAAACTCGACTCATTTTCAGGTGGATAAATTCGAGTCTCTTCTCAGAGCCGTGTTTGTTCAGTGTGTTTATTCTGTGCGTGTCGTTTTGTGTGGATCAGCTCTGATGACTCGCGTTTTGTCTCAACAGCAGTCACCTGACACAATACCTGGTCCGAGCTCTGGATCTGCAGTGCACAAGGTACGGAGGACACATTCTTGCACGTGTTAAGTGATGTCATACCTTCAGTTTGGCTGTGAAGCGAAATATCGTGTTTGTTTATGCACACAGATGACACCATTGGGATATTACCTCCGGCTTTTTCTAAGCTAGTTTCACTTCCTTCTCACTCTGGCTTATTCTGTTGTTTATCACTGTAATTTGTTTAGGGAACTAATTTAAGTACTGCACTCGGCAAAAAGCCCAAGGGCTTAAATATCTCGTAAGCTTTATTTTGTTTCATCACCAAAAGTTTAGGATAAAGAAATAAAAGCTAGACTAAACGAGCTGAGAGCTCAGGCAAACATTTTTATTTATTTTTTTTGCTGTGAAACAGATTTGTGTCTTTTGTGCCAAATACCTCAAAGTTTTTTCATTTACATCAAACGCTTGAGGATGCTGGGAAATGTGCTCTTCGGGAAGTCCTTTATCCCTCAGGCCTCACTGTTCAACTCCTCCCCGTACAGTAAAAATAGACCCTTATAAATGTACGGCACCCCCGAAACATGTATGTGTATGTATGCATATGTATATTTATGTATATTTGGATGTATGTATACATATATATAGGTTAATCATGAATGTAGTACCATATTCAGCATCTTTACCCAGCTGGTGCAGGTGTCCCAGTTTTCTGTTGAAAAAAATACTGTAAAGTTGTACCGGTAATTAAGACGCATAACCAGTGTAAGAATACAGATGAGTTGGGATGATGATGACCCAGTTTGACACTGTGTGAGATCAAATTTGAGCAGTAACTTCTAAGGCCATCATGCTGTTGCCTCCTCCATGAGGCACCACCACCACATGCTGGCTGGAATGAAAGTAACTCAGCAGAGTTTAGCCACTGCTGTCACATTTTTTTAGAGTTTAAGGAAGTTATCTTGTTCTTGTCTTTTTCAAACAGCGCATTTCTTCTATTTCTTATTTTGCAGTCACAGCCTGTATCATTGAACATTCTAGCTGAAGCTTGAAAAGGATTGTTTTTATTTTATTTTCTTGTCTCCAAGCACTAAATGATCTGATGACTTTGCTGGGATGTCCAGTAAGCTTCAAAACTTGGAAAATTGGCAAATGTTTTGAAGGTTCCCCACTCGTGAATAATCTTTTTCTTTTTAAGCATGAATTGAACCTCCAAATTGTTAAAAAAAAAAAAAGCTTATTATCCAGATCAGATTGATTGGCAGTAACTAGGCCTGTCACAATAACAAATTTTACTGGGTGATTAATTGTCTCGGAAATTATTGCGATAAACGATAATAATGTTTTAAGTTTGACAATAATTAGCAATTATGTGCAGCGTGTCTCTCTCTAAGAAAATTGGGAGGGAGGCTCCTTGACGTGACATGGGTTGTCTCTCGTTCCTGTTTTCATAATGGCGGACGCTCGGTGTGATTTGAGCTCTTTAGCATAGCATTTATCCCACAAAGCTTTTAATTAAAAAAAATCAGTAAACAAGTTCTCAGCTTATTTTTGCAGAGAAAAACAACTTTTTAGACGAAGGCACAAGTTTCAGTCATGAATTTTGGAGCTTTGACAAGACAGAGGTTTTTTCCCTGAGGTTGGCCTGTTAGCTTAGCTCGTAGCTTAGCTTCTCAGCTTAGCTGCTTTTAACGATGCAAACATGCAATTTTGGACGGTTAAAACAGATTTTAAAGAGAAAGGGAGAGGTCAGTGAAGAGCACCTGAGTTGAGCTTTTTTACATTCAGTGTCTTTAGTAGAAAGAGAGACACACGAAGAAACGATAAAGATAAAAAATGGAAATGAGGTCGATAATTTTCATTTATCTTGCGATTCATTGATTTATTGTTTATCGCCACAGGCCTAGCAGTAACATTACCTTCTTTAACATCAGTTGCTCAGGTCTTGTTTAACGTTGTGCTGACACACACCTGAATCCTGCAGGGTGTCAAATTAAATCAGTTACATGTGATTTCTAACCACTTTGAAATCCCATGGAAGTAGTAACAGTGTTTTATAAACACAGCTTTAGTATTTTGGCATAGTTTTCATTAAAATATCACTTTATAATCTTTTTATACATAATATTTTGCGGGCAGCACGATGCCGCAACTGGTAGAGCTGCTGCCTCTCAGCGAGCAGGTCCCTGGTTCAAACCCCTGTCTGGGGGCCTTTCTGGGTGGAGTTTGTATGTTCTCTCCGTGCATGCATGGGTTTTCTCCGAGTACTCCAGTTTCCTCTCACAGACCAAAAACATGCATGCTAGACTGATTGGTAACTCTTAAATTGTCCCTAGGTGTGAGTGAGAGAGTGAATGGTTGTTTGTCTCGTTTGTCTCCATGTTCAACCTTTATTTAGACAGGTTAATTCTATTGAGCCCTATGTGTCCCTGTGATGGACTTGCGACTCATCCAGATTGTACCTCGCCCCTCGCACGGTGATTGCTGGACATGGGCACCGGCGACCCCCGTGACCCAAAATGGAAGAAGCGGGTAAAAGAAAATGGATGGATGGATGGATGGATAATCATTTGCATTTTTTTCCCCCCATTTCTTCCTATATTCTGATCATGATGTTACAACTTGTTAGCTGGTTTTCACAAATTATGGCTATAACAAAACTTTGTTGAGCCAAATTAGGTATGAAGTGGCCTCTGTTTTGTAGAATAAATTAGAAGACAACAAGCCTAGAGGAGGGCAAGCAGCCATGTAAACAGCTTAATTGAAATACTTTTGCATTTACTGTGGCACCAACAGCAGGACTATTTTAGAGGCATAGTCAATATTTCATTCCTCGGGGGTAAAGAAATCGAGCTGTCCTTGTGAGCTGGTCAATGGCAGCTGCATGTAACCACATTAGGTCTCTGTCTCATATTCAGTGGAAATCAATACAGAAAATTTTCATTTTTCATTTTTATATGTACAGTTTTTATCTCTCGGATTTGGGAATATTATTGCCCACTCATTTTGTTTTTGCTTGCTTATGTCAGTCTTGCTCGCAGAGTTTTCCCTGTGCTGGACGGACCGTGAGGAACGCCTTCCTCTCTCATGGACCATACCCGGCTAAAGACAAGATACACCTGGCCAGAATCATACGGTATGCTCACCTCTGCCCATCAGCTGAATGGGTAAGCCCAGTGAAGCATGCAAACTGACTCACCATCACTGTTGCGCCCTGCTTTAATTGGCCAGTCAGGTTATTTAAGCAGGATGGTAAGAAGGAAAACAGTCAGGGATTGCATGCACTTGAATGATTTACATTGTTCATGCTGAACATCCAGGTGCATGAATCAAAACTACACTAAAATATGTATAGTGCTGTCATTATACACACACAACAGTTTATGTGATGATGGATCAGTTGGAAAGCGTTCAGTGTTTCAGAGGAAAAGGCTTACAAACAAGTAATGAATAATCGATGGGTATCGACTAATAAAAGACCAGCTTTGTGGCAAAAAAGCATGTTTGCACATCACGACATTGTGTGGCCTTGCTTCTATGCTGAAAATGTACAAATATGTGTGTATTTTAACAGGCGAAGCTATGTGGGAGTGGAGCTGGTGCAGTGGTTATGTGAGCAGTGTGTGTACGTGCGCTGTCGGACTACTGCTGTGCGTGTCTGGCAGGTGCTTCTGGAGCTGGGAGTCCTGCTGTCTGGTAAAACACACACACACTAACGTGCCCATAGCTAGGACTGTGCTTCAAAATTTATAGCCTCCTTCCAGCGACATCAGCATCTCTAAAGATACAAGAGCTTGACTTGGTTATTTCCAGCAGAACAGAGAGGCTCATTTATTATCTTGTTCACCTGCTCTGCACATGAACTCGATTTCAATTTAGACCTTGAACACAAAAACTGGGAATTGATGAAGCATTTATCAAAATTCTATCTTCAGTAATTCCTTTATTATGTATATGTGAGCATATTGGCAACGCTTTACTGCACACTGAAACATCCGAGAGCCTGTTTTCAATTCTCTTTGAAGGGTGAAACATTGTGTTAGTGTGAATTCATCCCCCACAATGAATCAGTCCAGATTTTAATGTGGGGACCAGGTTGTGTTTCTGTTACTAATGACAACTCCTTTTTATTTGTCAGTGTTTAGCAGAATTAGTCATGGCAAGTCAAGTCAATCCTAATTACAGATGCTGGTCATAAAATTAAAATATCATGAAAAAGTTTATTTATTTCAGTAATTCAATTCAAAAAGTGAAACTCCATCCATCCATCCATTTTCTTCTGCTTATCCGGGGTCGGGTCGCAGGGGTAGCAGCTTAAGTAGGGAGGCCCAGACTTCCTTCTCCCCAGCCACTTGGGCCAGCTCCTCCGGGGGAATCCCAAGGCGTTCCCAGGCCAGCCGAGAAACATAGTCCCTCCAGCGTGTCCTGGGTCTTCCTCTGTGTCTCCTCCCGGTGGGACGTGTCTGGAACACCTCACCAGGGAGGCATCCAGGAGGCATCCTTACCAGATGCCCGAGCCACTTCAACTGGCTCCTCTCAACGTGGAGAAGCAGCTGCTTCTCTGATGATCGACCTTCTCACCCTATCTCTAAGGGAGAGCCCAGACACCCTGCGGAGAAAACTCATTTCGGCCACTTGTATCCGAGATCTCATTCTTTCGGTCACAACCCAAAGCTCGTGACCATAGATGAGGGTGGGAACATAGATCGGTCGGTAAATTGAGAGCTTCGCCTTTTGACTCAGCTCTCTCTTCACCACGACAGACCTGTACAGTGCCCGCTTCAATGCAGACGCTGCACCTATCCGCCTATCGATCTCATGCTCCATTTTTCCCTCATTTGTGAACAAGACCCCAAGATACTTGAACTCCTCCACTTGGGGCAGGACCTTCTCCCTGACCCGGACAGGGCACTCTACCCTTTTCCAGCTCAAGACCATGGCCTAGGATTTGGAGGAACTGATCTTCATCCCGGCCGTGTCGCACTCGGCTGCGAACCGCTCCATCGAAAGCTGTAGATCACGATCTGACGAAGCCAATAGGACCACATCATCTGCAAAAAGCAGAGAAGCAATCCTAAGGCCACCAAAATGGATCCCATCAACACCTTGGCTGCGCCTAGAAATTCTGTCCATAAAAGTTATGAACAGAATCGGTGACAAAGGACAACCTTGGCGGAGTCCAACTCTCACCGGGAGCAAGCTCGACTTACTGCCGGCAATGCGGACCAGGCTCTGACACAGGTCATACAGGGACCTAACAGCCAGTATCAAAGGGCCTGGTACCCCATACTCCCAAAGTACCCCCCACAGGGTTCCCCGAGGGACGCAGTCGAACACCTTCTCCAAGTCCACATGTAGAACGGTTGGGCAAACTCCCACGCACCCTCCAGGACCCTGCTGAGAGTGTAGAGCTGGTCCAGTGTTCCACAACCGGGATGAAAACCGCACTACTCCTCCTGAATCCGAGGTTCGACTATCCAACGGACCCTCCTCTCCAGAACCCCCGAATAGACCTTACCAGGGAGACTTGAGGGCTAGATCCCCCTGTAGTTGGAACACACTCTACGGTCCCCCTTTTTGAATAGGGGGACCACCACTCCGGTCTGCCAATCCAGGGGAACTTCCCCCAATGTCCACGCAATATTGCAGAGTCGCACAAGCCAACACAACCCTACAACATTCAGAGCCTTAAAGAACTCCGGGCGAATCTCATCCACCCCTGGGGCCCTGCCACCGAGGAGCTTTTTAACCTCCTCGTTGACCTCAGCACCAGAGATTGGAGGGCCCGACCCAGAATCCCCAGGCTCCGCTTCCTCAGTGGAAGACGTACTAGTGGGATTGAGGAGTTCTTCAAAGTATTCTGCCCACCGACCCACGACATCCCGAGTTGAGGTCAGCAGCACACCACCCCCACTATAAACAGTGTTGGTGGTGTACCGCTCCCCCCCCCCGAGACGCCGGATGGTGGACCAGAATTGCCTCTAAGCCATGCGGAAGTCATTCTCCATGGCCTCTCCGAACTCCTCCCATGCCCAAGTTTTTGCCTCAGCGACCACCTGAGTCACATGTCGCTTGGACTGCCAGTACCCATCAGCTGCTTCCGGGGTCCCACAAGCCAGAAAGGCCCGATAGGACTCCTTCTTCAGCTTGACAGCATCCCTCACCGTCGGTGTCCACCACCGGGTTCGAGGGTTGCCGCCGCGACAGGCACCGACAACCTTGCGGCCGCAGCTCCGGTAAGCCGCCTCGACAATAGAGGCACAGAACATGGCCCACTCAGACTTGATGTCCCCTACCTTCCCCGGAACATGTTCGAAGTTCTCCTGGAGGTGAGAGTTAAATTGGAGCCAACTCACCACCAGGTAGTGATCAGTGGACAGCTCTGCCCCTCTCTTCACCCGAGTGTTCAAGACATGTGGCCGCAGATCAGATGAGACAACGACAAAGTCAATCATCGAACTGTGGCCTAGGGTGTCCTGGTGCCAAGAGCACATATGGACACCCTTATGCTTGAACAAGGTGTTCGTTATGGACAATCCATGACAAACACAGAAGTCCAACAACAGAACACCACTCAGGTTCAGATCAGAGGGGCCGTTCCTCCCAACCACACCCCTCCAGGTCTCACTGTCATTGCGTATATTATATTCATTTATTACACACAGACTGATATATTTCAAATGTTTGTTTCTTTAATGTTGATTATGATAACTGACAACTAATGAAAACCCCAAATTCAGTATCTCAGAAAATTAGAATATTGTGAAAATGTTCAATATTGAAGACACCTGGTGCCACATTCTAATCAGCTAATTAACTCAAAACACCTGCAAAGGCCTTTAAATGGTCTCTCAGTTTAGTTCTGTAGGTTACACAATCATGGGAAAGACTGCTGACTTGACATTTGTCCAAAAGACGACCATTGACACCTTGCACAAGGAGGGAAAGGCACAAAAGTTCATTGCTAAAGAAGCTGGCTGTTCACAGAGCTTTGTGTCCAAGCACATTAATAGAGAGACGAAGGGAAGGAAAAGATGTGGTAAAAAAGTGTACAAGCAATAAGGGTTACCGCACCCTGGAGAGGATAGTGAAACAAAACCCATTCCAAAATGTGGGGGAGATTCACAAATAGTGGTCTGCAGCTGGAGTCAGTGCTTCAAGAACTACCACACACAGATGCACAGACATGGGTTTCCGCTATCGCATTCCTTGTGTCAAGCCACTCTTGAACAAGAGACAGCGTCAGAGGTGTGTTGCCTGGGCTAAAGACAAAACGGACTGGACTTTTGCTGAGTGGTCCAAAGTTATGTTCTCTGATGAAAATAAATTGTGCATTTCCTTTGGAAATGAAGGTCCCAGAGTCCCAGCGTGACCAGCACCTGTACTTCCAGATATTACACAATGGTGTTTTTCAAGACTCAAAACCTCACAAGTTTGAGCTTTTTTACATACGGAATATAAATGTTGTCATATTAGTCAGGGATGTGTGGGAAGTAGTTGTTAGAATAAAAAGCCCAATTTGAAGATATAGCAAACACGGTTTTGGAACTCATTTTTAGCATTTTTAACTTTTAGCTTTAGAACTCGCTTAGGTTGACGGATGCATGCACATTTAGCCAAAACTGGATATAACATAAGTTATAGTTTGGTAGGATGTTAGCTTTAATTAAATCATGATTAAAATGTTGTAGTTTTCACTTCGTTTCTCATAATCATTTGTCAGAATTTTGAATTGGAACTATTTTAACCTGAGTTTGTTTAGATCTCGAGCTTTATCCAGACATTGAACTTTTTTCATATTTTTGTAGCATAATAATTATTTTTTTTTAAATTGAGAATAAAAATTTTAGGTTGTTTAGGTGATACTCATCATAAAAACAAATAATTATACGATAGATTTGGGATCTTTGCATTGATAAAGCCTGCATATTGCTAACAGGCTGGTCTTTATGCAAGTAAATCAGTTTTTTTAATAATTTAACAAAGCCATGCTCAATGCCATAGTAAACTTGGTTGGGTGGTAGATACAATGTGTAAATCCTTTCTTTAACTATTTTAGTTTACCACAAATGTTTAGCACAACGACTAAGAAATTTAGTGTTTTAAAGTAATCCATTGTTTCTCACTTTCCTATTTGTTTATCTGTTTTTGTTGTTTTTCCCCAGTGGATCAGCGGGTGGTGTTTTCTGACTCCAACTCCTATTACCAGTTCAGTTTTGAGGAGTGTGACTCCCTGTCCTGCGAGTTTCGCTCCAATGAGGGGGAGTGGCCAGAAGCAGTTAAGCTCCTCCTACAACTTGCTCCATACGTCCAGTTTCGCTCTGGTGGTGGGGCCAATAGCCCGTAAGTAGTAAAGTTTGTTTTTGTTTTTAAGTTAGTTTTTGATCGGAGGTGTTTGTGGGTGTCTAAAAGCTGACGTGTTATGCTTTCAGTTTAGATTTATGCTTGAGGTCATTTATTCATCTGATGAATTAAGGTTAAATGAGGAAAAGCTAGAATCCAAAAAGTGCAGTTCTATGTCCTTGCAACTTCAAACACACTTCAGAAGATCCTCCTCAAATCCCAGTGAGAAACCTAATCTCTGTTCAGCTCTTTAAATCCTCAGTCTCCTTGGAGACATATTTATTTGCAGACCCACACCCACACATCTATCGAAGAAGGGCACATACATACAGAAAGTGACTCATGATGTGGTCAGTCACATACATGAGATGGTCTTTAAGACACTCTCACGCATCAATACTGAGTGGTGTCATCCAGAGTTCCTGCTTTGCTGCTCCTGTGTGTGGAGTTCCTGCTGAGGCTGCGACTGAACTCAATCTGTCACTCAGAGAAACAGAGCGGGATCTGTGTGTGTGTGTGTGTACGCACGTGCAGGCGTGTGTGTCTGCATGTGTAGGGGTAATGAAAAATGAAGCAAAATGAAGCATATATGGAGAGTAAATGAAAAGACCATATTCTACCGTATGTCCTTTCAAAGGGTGTATTAAGTAGCCTGACCAATATGGAAATTTTGGCTATCGCTGATACCGATATTGGGAGGGTAATGCTAATTCTGATAACCAATATAATGGCTGAACATGTTTGAGCTTTGTTCACCCCCAAGAATCAAAGTAAACAGCTATTTTTAAACCTGTTTTAACACGAAGTTTTGAAACAGTCTTCTTAATGTGCATTCACATTTTCTATCCTCCTCCTATTCACCACAAAGTTATCAAGCGTGTTACATAAATATAAATTAAACAAAAAAAAAATGCCCTTCCATGTTCATTGTTTAAACAGTCATTCACGCAGAGTGAAGGCCTAATTAGTATTGATCACAGCAGTGGAGGTTTTTTTTTTTTTTTTGCAAAGAAGTAAAGATTTCAGACAAACAACGCCTTTCATTGAGAACGACAAAGATAACGTTACTAACGCGGATATATATTTTCCGCTACGTTAGATTTATTGTTCTGGATAAAATTTTACAAGGCAATACCCTATGCTAGGTTAGCTAATATTAGCTTGCTATTTTGAAAGGCACGTAGCTAATGATAAGCGTATCACACGCTTGTCACACACAGCACACATGCAACAAGATAAACACATAAAAAACAATCGTTTGCTCAAAATTTTAGTAAAGGTGTCTCAGTCTAACTTTTCCTTAATAAATGCACTTTGACGGTCAAATCAGCTGCATTTCAAAAACCGATGCGCGGCTGTGGGAATGTGACTCGCTGTGCATTTCTTCGACATTTAGCAAGATAACACCTAAAAACAATTATTTGTTTGCTCAACATTATTGTAAAGGTGTGTCTCAGTTGAACTTTTACTTAATAAATGCACTTCATTGGTCAAATTAGCTGCATTTCGCTGCGTCGCCCCGGCGAAATGAAGCTGATTTGACGGTTGCTCCAGGCGAGTTGAACAAATGTGGCATCTATGGCAAGCCAATTGTGTCCTTGATAGCCACTTTTACCTATCACATGTCAAAATGGCATGCCATACAACTCTGCTGCCATCTAGTGGCTGAAAATGGTAGTGTTCAATATTTTCAGCATGTGTATATGTATGTGTAAATAGATGTTGGAGGACGTCCTGGCAAGTGCAGTCAAACTCACTGCATTAGTTTATTTAACGTTGGCTTTTTCACAGTGAACTCACTGAGCTGCTAACATTATATCAACTTCCATACTCAAAGGCATAAACAGATTATTTTATGAGCTTTTTTTATATGCTCAAAACATAGTCAATACATTTAACACCATTACAACTAAATATAATAGTTGTAAAAATGTATCTTATCACCTACTTTAATGCAATGCACTGTAAGAAAACCCCCAGTGTGTATTGAGTATAATTGATTACTCAGTTCATACTGTATGAAGTTTAATGTAACAGTAGTTGGCATTAGTCAGCAATTACTGTCAGCTTTCCTGTCTTTGAATTACAGTGCTCCCTACATTGTGCAGGAGGAGCAGAACCGCCGAAAGCTAAAATATGATACCTTTGCTCTGGAGGATGAAATGTTCCCAGTTGCTTTGCATAGTGATCTGGTCTTCGACAATTCAACCCTGCCCTATTTTTAAATGAGAGTGACCGAAAAGTCAGACTCTGCAGAATACTGCTGGAACCTTGTAGCTGGAGGGGAGGGCATCCAGTCTGTTGTAGCACATTCTCCTACCCTCAGTAAATGACACTATCTGCGGCGCAGCGCAAGCCTTTAGTTCTCCTCTTGGACTTGCAACACTTGAAGCAAAGCTGTCCATGCATTTTTATTTTTCTTAGTTTTCTCGCTTGTAAAAATCTACATCAAGGATCAGTTCTGGCAGTTCACAGTATTCTTTTCAGCATGCATCTTTTGGTGTAATTTGAACAGGGTGGTGGTATAAGAACAGATTGTGTTATTCTTCAGTGCTGCTGTATGCTGCCTAATGGTTGGTGACACACCTCCTACTGTGTCTCTTCTGTGACTTCGCTACATTCAAGCTCCTGGTGTGTCACCAAATTACCAACTGACAGTAAAACCTAATGACCCCGAGGAGAACAAATTTAGCTCTGAATGCTTTTTTTCCCATCATTTGAAAAGGGATTTTTGTTGAGTAAGAACTGTTGTTTTACCAGTTTGGAGAAAAAAAGAAGTGTTTTGCTAAAGGCTGATTCTGACAGCATTTTCACACTTGTTCCGACTGTCCACCTGTGTGTATCCTTATCTGTGCCAGAGTTTGGGAGCTGACGTGTCAGGCTGAAGGCTATTGTATTATCACTATCTCCCCAGCTTCTGCATCTATCATTCTCTTATCAGATTACACTGTAGACACGCACGCACACATGCACGCACAAAGTCACTCAGGGCTTCATCTTCTACCTTCTATACTACTATTACGAATTCCACCGGGATCTGTGGATGCAATCCAAATTGTATGCAAATGCATCGTAGGATATGTATGTGCATGCTTGAGGGTTATACTGTGTGTGTGTGTGAGAGAGAGTGTGTGAGAGAGAGAGAAGGGGTGAAGCAGTGCAGACACTGTTTTTTGAGATCGTATTGAGTGAAGAGCCTTCAGGTGCCCACTGTATAATCTCATATTATTGCTGTGGGAATAGAGCAGTTTAACTAAAAAAAACAAACAATTTATGATCATTATCAATTATTTTTCTTTATTATTTGTGGTCACCTTTCAGAATACTTGGATGCTTTAATGGATACAATTACATATGTGTGTGTGTGTGTGTGTGTGTGTGTGTGTGTGTATATATATATATATATATATATATATATATATATATATATATATATTAGGGATGCACGATATTATCGTCATGGTATCTGTATCGGCCGATATTAGCGATAAAGTTAAATATCGGATGTCAGCGATAAAGTTAAATATCGGATGTCAGCCATTCCATCAAAACAACTTTCAGATATGAAAGGCACTGTTTGTCAGAGTCAGAGAGTCAGAGATTCTTTATTGTCATTCGCACCTCATGTGGTACATGTAGTGGAGCGAAATTATGTACACAAGGTCCCAGTTACATCCAACAATAAAATGTATAAGAAAAACAGTAATAACATCTAAGATATGAACTAAGAAAAACATCAACTAAATATACACTAAGCACTCATAACATAAAACATTGAACATCAGCACAAACATGAACATGAGTCTGTGTGAGCGGATGTGCACGCATGAACACATCAACATTGAAACAGATCAGCAGCAACATGAAACAGATCAGCAGCAACATGAAACAGATCAGCAGCAACATGAAACAGATCAGCAGCAACATGAAACAGATCAGCAGCAA